AGGCCACCCTAAAGTAAATACGGCCACCAAATTCTTCATTTTATACTGTATGGCATCGGTCACAGCGTTCATATAGTGTTGTTCACTAATCTAGCCCTACTTATACACCACACAAGTAATGAACCTTAATTCCCATGAGACTGCAAAGGGATTTCGACGCCATTCAACTAAAAGTTAAGAGGTTGACCTTTCCATTTTGGCTTGAAGGTTTGTCAACTTTTTCATAGGAGGGTAATTCGTTTTGTAGGTCAGTGTGAGTGACTCAGTCACATGTTTTTGTAGAAACACATTAGATACAATTTGAACAATGTAGAATAATCGCACTACTTATATTGGAATTGATAAATAAGTCTCTAAATTTATGTAGAGAATTCCTAAATGGCTTTTCTTGAATGGATCTAAAATCGGCTAAAGTAGAACGATTTTCAATATGGCGGCCAGAGTAGGATTTTTCGTTGATAATGTCCAGTAAATTGCCAAATACAAGATAAAGAATGATATATGTGCCTTGAACGTATTGCTGTTTTATTATTATTATTATTATTATTATTATTATTATTATTTTATACGGAAAGTTAGAACACTTTTAGCATGTTCGCATTGTTAAATTTATTTATTACAACTGTTTTACCCATGCTGTCTAAAATTACTGCAATTCAGGTACAGTTCCACAAAATAAAAAGTCTGGAGTGAATCTAAATCAAATGTTAAGTTTTAAAGATTCCAAATTCTCTCACTTTGACTTTATTTCTACTCACTGTCTATCAGTAACACTCTTTTGTTTGCCGTCAGGCCGTGAACGATAATGGCTCTCCACAACACCCTCTACTTTGTAGACTAATAAAAAAAAAAAAAAAAAAGTTTTTTTTTCTATAGCTCCTAATCCTTGTTCTGCCAACCATTCACTCAAGCTCTTTAAGTCGGTCACGCGCGACTTTCCTCTGTTCTTTCAATATGTCCCGTGAGTGTCAAATTTTCCAAGCCCTCCTTTTCTTAGTGCCCTAGATTATTTCAACTGTCTCTGGCTGATTCTGTTTGTAAGTATCTTTTTTGTTTTCACTTTTCCTAAAACTTGGTCGCTACTTACTTATCCAGTCCATGGTATTCTCAGCAACCTTCTGTAGAACCACATTTCTTCTGTCTAGACTCTTAATCATCTGTTAGGCGAATATCCAGCATTATGAGAACCTATATTATATAATTTACAACTCTTTCTTTGTTTCCAATGAATTTTTCCTGTTTCTTGTTTTAAAAAAAATTACTTCAAAATATTGACAAATCCCACTGAAGTGGTTAATGAGAAATTAATTTGAATTAAATTTTTCCCTTTTTTTCTTTTTAACAGTAACAGAAAAAAAATCAATCTAGTTAATTTCTCATTGACTAATTCACAAGGATTTGCCAATACTGTTATGCAATTTTTATATCATTTGCCGACAATAAAGTGGCTTCATGCAGCTTTTTAAAAACTCCGTCCCATTCAAACGTAAATCAGATAATCCATGGATTAACCCTGTTCCCCTGCCAACTTTTATTTATTTATTTATTAACTTTCTCTTCTCTTAGCGTTCTAATGTGTCCGTGCTGCTCATATGTACAGCACTGGGTGCTTTTACTAACTACAGAGTTGTGAAGCCAAGCAAAAGTTCTCCTTTTGGCTATGTGCGCAAAGATTCTACAATGTACTTCGCTCGTAGCCTTTAGCATATGGACGAAGAAACAGAACGGCTTCCGGTAATGCAAGCTTTTTGTATTTTCTTTTTGAGATTTGAACGGAGAAGCGTGAAGAGTTGCCTTAGCTTGCTTTAAGGTAAAGTACTTCTTACACAACGCTATTATATTAGCTGCAGATTGTATTGTTAGTAGGGTGATCTGGTTCATGTTAATGGCGATTTAGTTAATAATATTAAGGTTAGTGTTTGTGTCTTGTGAGTGCGTCTTGAATCTAAGCAGTTTTTTTTTGTTTTTATAGAAACGCTTTTATTACGTACATGAAATAATTAAACTGACATGAGGATAACTTGTCACGTTGGATATATATTTATTTAAGTGAAAAGAGAGGTGGGTTAGAATTTTGATTATACAAATGTACAGAATATTTTATCCGAAAGACTTGAGGCCAGAGGGAGTATTTCGAAATTTTATTACGGTGGAGCAATGTTCGGATTGAGAAATCGGAGAGTTCGAATTCTAGTCAGATTCATTATATTCACTTACGTGCTAATACCCTTGTGAAAGGTATGAATCCTTTTCTTTCCCTCCCAGCTATTGGTAAATAGCAAGACAGACTGGGTTCTGTAGCCTTGGATGGCAATTGCTCTACCGCAGAAAGAAATGGCAACCTACCGCGGGAAAAAATCTGCCTCGTCAGCCATGTATCTTTTCCGTACTTCTTTCTTTCTCTTCTTTCTTTCTTTCTCTTCTTTCTTTCTTTCTCTTTGTAATGCTCTCTTTATATAGAACCTTGTTTTTTCTAAACGTTTTTGGCAGCCGATGTTCAGGTCCTCCTCAAATTTTACCTTTTGAAGCATCATAATTGATAGGCAATAGTCATTTACTTCCGGACTGTATTTCTCATGACACGGTACCATCTTTTAAGCGATTAAACTAATTTTTGGCAATATAACCGGATATTGTTTAATTTCATTGCATTTCCCAAACTCTGCGAGCAGTTTCAACTATTCAAAGGTTCAGTTTCCAATAATACCTCAAAAGTTTCAGAATCTCAATATTTGTATCCGTCATTATAACATCTAAATAGTATTAATCACGATAATAATACAGCACCATACCCTTTATATGTAGATGAAAGAAGCTTTGTAGTAAAAACACACTCTATCTTTATATGGATATAGACGATGTTTTTGTTGACTCTACTCGGCTAAAAGAAATGTTCTTTTGTTTTTGTGAAATAGCTTTAAAATGCATTAATAACAAAATGAAAATTAGAGGCTTACACCGAACGGTTACAAACGGTAATTGTAGAGAGCCTCCCCCTCCCCCCTTTAAGGATAAAGAAATAATGTATACAATTTAAAAGTAAAACTTCCCTTTCGCTCAAACTGCATGTCACAATTTGGTCGTGTACCGAACAAACACTCTTCTCAGTTACACACACACACACACACACACACACGAGTAATATACAATAATTAGAATCCGATCAGAAAGTTTAAATAAATTAAAATATGACTTGTTATTTTTTACCTTTCACTTGTTTGTACGAATTATTCAGATTTAATTGTAACAGTATTTTACGAATTTGACTGAAAGTTTTCGATATTTAATAAGAAGCCCAAACTACGACTTTGTTTATAAATAAATGTTTATAAAAATTGTATATAATGCAGTATGTTTCTCATTGTATTTTCAGCTTATAATTTTAATGTTTTGATAAACCATTCTGTTTAACTTTAAATTTTACACCTGTTATTAGATAAGTTGGACATATTGTCATCTGTGATTTAAAAAATATTTTTATGCAATCGTTTTTTTTCTCATTTTTTTTTCTTTTACTTTGCTTACATTTATTGAAAATTTTAAAATCCTAGTTTTTAAAAAGCAAAAAAAAAGACTTTTAATGTCTATGTCAGTAGTGAGTCATTTCATTGCCTGCAGACGAATTTCTCTATTGACCTTGTCATTAAGTTCGTCCAGCTTGTTGAAAGACTCCGCTTGCATATCAGACACAGCAGGCACTCTTGTCCTTCTTTTCTTTGTTCCGTTCACTCGTTGCAGTTATGGTAAAAGCAATATCTATCGTAGTAGTAGAGGTAGCAATAGTTCTACTTGCCAGTGACTGTTGCTATATGTTCAGCACAAATTGATACTGCAAGGGGAATGTCATTGCTATTTCAGTTTATCTAACTTTATCTTGATAATAAAACGCAAATTTAGGAGCCTCTTCAAATTACCAATTTAACAATTTATTTTGCCCGTTTGATAATTTACTCGTATATACTTTTTGATATTTTGAACATGAGAATCCTGATAGATTATTTAGTACTAAGCATAAAAGTAAAAGAACGATGAATAGTTACTGTTGTTTATCTTTCTGCCTCTCGACGTAGAAATAACGACTGTAGCTGTGTTAGTGAAAAAAAAGATTTTTTTTTCAATTTGTCTCGATCAGCTTCCTTAATAAATATATTTTAAAATATGCCTTATACTCCTTAATTACTGTAATGATTTTATCTTTATTATTATTACTCGTGAAATGCGTGATGCTCGAATAAAATGTGGTTATTGTTTCCTCGCGTGCACTTAACAAATGCTACTCGTGAAGTTACAATTTATCGTCTGCTTAGGACGACATAGATTTAGCAATCTGTTAATTCATTGATTTTGCCGTCTGTTGCTGGCACTTGTTTCAATTTATTTATAAATATGTTATTCATAATTTATTTGCCCATTAGATGCTGAAAAAATACTTGTTTACTTTCATACGTGCTTTTTTCCCAAAAATAAAGGATGCGAAGTACATTTCCTGACGTAATTACCCATTCTGTGTATACGCCCTTTAAGCGTCTGCCGTTCATGTACACAATTCCTTCTTTCTCTCTCACTCACACACGCACACACACACACACACACATATATATATATATATATATATATATATATATATATATTGATTAAATGAAAATAAAATCACTTTTCATTGACTTCTGTGTGTTTGAATAAATCCATTCACCCATTGGTATGAATGTAGACGTAACGTAGATAAAAAAAAAATCACAAGTGGCAGGACAAACGTATGGCGCAATTATGAATAGTGACAAGAAGTAAAATATAATCAAATCTTAATGCGTAAATGGAAGGCCGGGAACTGCAGTGAGCAGAAAATACAGATGACTACATTTTATCCACATAGATAACAAATATAATTCTAACGGAGAGTTATTAATACTTATAAAATACCTTTAAGAAAGAAAAGTAAATACATAGTAAATAATTTTAGAATTATGTTTGCCTAGAAAACTGGGACTGACAGGAGGGTGGGAAGTTTTGCTATCGGATGTCATGACCCCTAGCAGCAGCTGTTGATGGTGATATTTATGTTGAACTGGTGCCAATTCGAAGTATGTGGCCTCTTTGGTGGACTTGCTATGCTAAACGTTGGTGTTACCTATTTGCAGACTATCCATAAAGATTTAGAGAAGGAGGAACCCGTTGTAAAGTCAACTCTTGCTCACGCGGAAGAATTGCTCGGTACGTCCAACCAGTCCAAGAAGGTAGAAAAGGATCAACAATACCAGAAACTGAGATACAACACTTCTGATTTGAAAGTTCGATTTGATGCTGTAAGTACATTTTTTTTTTTAATTTCTTATAATATGCTGTCATTTTTAATGCATTTTTATGTTATATTAATTACACATACAAAAAGCTTTTTCGTGTTACTATTTACAGTAAACAATTTGCAGACACTGTGCAGATCCACATGTGTTGTGTATTAAACACAAAATCGCGAAAAACCCTGAGTTTGTTACTCTTTTTTCTTCTTTTTCTTTTTTTATTTTTTAATCAAGTTTACCTCAAGCAACACAATAACGCCACAAGGTTGTTATGAATGTAAATTATGGTATCAGTTTGGGATTTTATTGATTCTTCCTATTATTTATTTTCCTCCAAAAAAAAAAACTGTTCTGTAGAAATTTTTCTTGAATCACTAAAAAAAAAAATAATCCTGAAAACTGATCAATTTAACTCGCACACAAAGGAGGAAGATTTGAATGAAATCCAGCATTTGTTTCCCTCTAACGAGCTTCAAACAAAAGAAAGGCATTCGACCAGTACACATACACTAGTGAGCACGCACAGTGTCATACACGTACGCATTCGGACACACCTGAACCGGGCGCCTGCTCTCTAGAATGATGGCTAGAGAGCAAGTCCCTTTAATGCTAGCTAGGTGTACGACCTTCAACTGGTGTCTCACGACTAAAACTAAAGTTGAAGAGCTGACTTATTATGTAATTATTTTCTCGGCTCAACAAATAACTACAAACCTGTATTTTTATGTTTACGAACTTGTTTTTGTTTATGTCAATAATTTATATCTGCTTCGGAAATTTTAATTGCAATAAACAGCAAAGTTTCTCAAAACAATTACTTTTACGTACTTAAAAGCAGTCATTTTTCTTTAATTTACCACTGTAAGATATTTTTAAGTTATCGCAATATAATTTAAAATTAAAGCAATACTCCGTGAAGTTACCTATTAGAAAACAGGTAAATTTTCGGATGTATTTTTGGATTACCATCGTCGCGAATGCATGCATGCAATGCAAATGAATGCACGCACGCGCGCAAATTGATTATTGTTTTATGTACACATAACATTCTACCTTGGTCAGAACCACGATAATGGCATGTACATTACATATACGCTTGTATTTGTATGACATAACATGCACGCATAATTACGCATATTAAGCACACATATCAGTTTACCGGCAATTCGCTACTTGAAAGCACACGTATTTCACAAACGACATGCACAGAAAAATAGACCGGTGAGGGTGCACACATGTTAATTTATATACAAAACTTATTTTTGTATATAGATGAGCAAACGCACATAGTCGCAAACTCGTTGTTACAACACACGGAGGTGTGTAAACAGCATTTATGAATCTTATTACATCATGCAAAAAAATACAATATCCTTCCCATCAGCCATCATTGCTATTACTTGTACGAAAGCAACACTGGCCGAATGATTCCACCTGTGACCACATCGACACGTGCATGCGTGTGCCATAATAACAATAATAACAATAATAATAATTTTAGCTGATGTACTCCGAAAGATGTTCGCTACATTCCAGAGAGTTCTTCAGTTGATTCGAAAACTTGCTGGGCAGTCGTAACCACTGTCTGCATTATTGTCAAAAAAAATTCTTGGTCGGATTACAATTGCTGTAAACTTAAACACGGTAAATGCTAATATTCAAATTTTTTAAAATTCAGTTTATGTTCGTGCTACACGTAGAAATTATGCAAGTTACATGTTTTTGTTTTATCACTGTGAAAAAAAGCTTTTTGTTTTTAAATCAATTTATTTTAATATTGCATAAATAAATTGAATGCATAAAGAACAAATTATTTTCCATTTTTCTTATTGTACCCTTAATGCTTTTTTTTCACATACACACGTACGCATACACGTAACTCAATAAGTCTGTTGCCTAATCATAAAATAATTTTACATGACAAATATTTATTTTTCGACGTGAACTATTTCCTTGTCAGTGCACTTAATCGTATATTATATAATGAAAACTTCAGATAACTTTGAGGATACAGACTTGTTGATCTACCGTCACACACACACACACACACACATCTTCTCTTTTCTGATCGTGTTTTTATATCACCTTTATTTTAAATGCAATATTTTTTTAATTTTTACCCAAGAAATATACAACCATATTTTAAATGAAATCATTATGGTAAAAAAGTAATTAAAGATTTATATATTCTTTTTAAATGTGTCTATATGAATTTATTTGGATAAATCACATTAACCTTGTTTTGGTCGACGTTTTCCAGCCAACATACCTTTTTATTTATCAATATCATGGAGGTCTTATAACTTGATTTGATTGAAGCAAAGTCTTTGGATTAAAGAAAATTTAAGCAACTTCAAATTTCGTGAAGTAAATCCGTGTCTATAACGCACGGTTTGTATTTATTTTTATTTTATTTTTTTTATGAAATGACTAAGTAGAACGTAGAAACAGACGACTATCTTAAAAACAAACAAACGAAGGAAAGAATGAAGATAAGATCAAAATAAGTGGAAATTGGAGTAAATAAGATAAAACGGTCTATTTTTAAATATAAATTATCTTTAAAATAAAAATCATTAAATAATAGAAAAATATCAGCAACGATTGTTTTTTTTATGGGATGCACACACACACACACACACACACACTATCTTATTGTACAACATAGTGTGTGTATATATATATATATATATGTCTCAATAAATGAAATTTATGTGTATTGTATTTCAAAATATTTCGAATTTTTAAAGTCATAGTATGAACATTTCTTTTTAGATACGCTCTTTGTTCAAAATGCAGTTTATAATACAAATAAAAAACATTACGTGAATAATTGTATACGTTTCATTGGTGATGATTTTTAAAGAGTCTCTTGCATGACCTTTGTCACAAAGAGAATTGTTTCATAACTTATGTTGACAAGTTGTTTACTATGATGATGGGGAGATCTTAAACAAGATAGTCAACCACATGTCACCACCAAAGTTTATCGATTCTTCATTCATCACAAACTTGTCGTCCATCAACTTTCAGAAATACCTCGTCTACATTTTTTTTTTTTTGTGTAAATAAATTAAAATAATACTTATCCGTCGAAATGTTCGGGGATTCTACAGTTAATTCAACTGACCGCTAAGCGGAGCGATTCAAAATGTTTAGTTCTTCAAGACTGTAACTCGTGTGACACTTAGCCCATCGCCAAGAGAAGGCTTGTGGCGCGGTTGGGGTGAAAATGGTATGAACTTAATTGCACAAATTCTTACTCGCAGTAACGCCCGCCGCTGACAAAGCCCCACTATCACCACCACCACCCCCAAAAAATAAAAACACTCTGGCGACAGACCTGTGTGGCACATAAACCTTAGATCTCTTTTGCCTTTCTATTATTTAGCCTTCGGTGCATATGTGAAAAATAGCTTACTCTTGGTTAAATTTACATTAAAAAAAAAAAAAAAGTAGCCACGCGTTAGTTGTTACCATGTGACCGTTAAATTTTACAAACACAATATTTCCAGGAAAATAAAAAAAAAAAAGCCTGCTCTGCTTTAGTACACTTTAACATGAAATTGCGATAGTCTCACCTACCAAGCATTATAGCAGCCGACTCTTTTTAACTCTGCAATCAGTATCACTGAGAAAGCAGTATGCTCAGATATGAAAGATGTTACAATCTAATTATTTAAAGTTATTATCAATTATTTGTATGCTCACAGTAGCAAAGATTTTACAATAACAAATTTGACTAGCCTGGATTTGAAATTGTAGTTTTTGTGTAACCCACACGTAATCTTTCAGTCTACTGTTCTTCCCCAAATTTTCGGATTGAAGACAAGGAATCATTACTTACTTGGTCTGATACATACATTTTTCATTTGAATTTTATAGAATCTTTGCAGTGTTGAGATTTTTCTGTTAAAATTCCGCTTGAGGTCATTCTGTATGTATACGAATATCATTAGGATGTTTTTATGAACCACTTAAGTGATGCCAACAAAATTTTGTTTCGTTCATTAGACATTATTAGTTAAAATTTTAAAAAGAAATGATTAAAAATAAAGTCAGCTTATTGAAGAAAGAATTCAGATATTCCGCTGTAAGATTTTTTTCTTTTTACTTATATTTACAAACGTGCTGTTTTTTTGTTTTTTGTTTTTTAGACTGGTGATAGCTAAGTGAGATATCGCACCTAGTGAAGTTTGACTACAAAAATATCTATTTGAAATTTCTGATGAATCTTAATTCTTAAGTTAATGATTGAATAATCCCATAGCGAATTATACGTCAATAACATATCCGTAGAAATTCCCCTATCGCACCGTTAAATATTTTTAGCTTAACAACTTTAACGAAATATTGCAATAACAATCCTAAAATAACGACCAGCATTCATATTTAAGAAGTAAGGGGGAATAAATAAAAATTGACAACTTTTTCTATTTTACTGAAATAGACGTTAGACACTTTTTCTTTCTTTCTCTAATTTTTTTTTTCACTGAAAAGTATCGTCTCTGATATGTCCATTCCGTCTTTCCCCGCGATCGAAACGAAATAGTCCATTATATATGAAGTATCGGTCGTGCTAAGGTACAAACAGAATTATATCTTTATTCTTCCCTGACAGTCAACTGAATATATTTAACACGCAATTCATCAGGGGCTTGATTTAACTAGAACTGAAACCTGAAACTATATATCCCTTAAGAGGAACAATGGAATGAGAACAATCAATATCCGTGGATTGAATAAAGAGTTCAATTTAAAATTCCAAGTGGTTATCGACTACGACACACCCACTGAAGAAGCTTATCTATAGAATCAATCCAAATTTAAGACTGACGTTAATACAATGGCTCTTGTTTAAATAAGTTGTTGCCTTTCCTTTGCGTCACCCTAGTAATATATTGCATAGAGATAAATGATTCGACCATCTCTACGTAGATAATAATTCCTCATCGCAAACAACAAAAAAGAAACGATATTTTTGCTTTAAAAAAGCTTACGGCCATATCACATTGAAACACCGGTTCCCGTCCGATCGCCTAAGTTAAGTAACGTCGAGTTTGGTCAGTACTTAGATAGGTAACCGCTTGGAATTCCATGTGCTGTAAGCTTGGATTTGGGGTTAGTTTAATGGATAGCGGCTCGGAATGAGAAATCGGAGAGCCGAGTTCAAATTCCAGTCCGGTTCGTTGCATTGTATGAATCCACATCTTCTTTACTCCTTCAATGGGTTAAATAGTAGACATTTTACCTGAATATTATTATTATCCCCAACAAATTCTTCATACAATACTCACTCTGAAATAAACTTTTACAATTCAAAAATATATCGTATTTAAATAGTCTATACAAGGTTGATAAGCCATAAAAAATCCATCTTGCTTAAAATAACTATGTTTTCATTTAATACTTCTAATTCAAAGAACAAGCATATATATTTGGGGAGTGAATGTGATCTCTTTTTCTTAGGCCTTAGTATTACGGTAACTAATATCTAAAAAGCATGGTCTCAGTACTATGTCATAAAGCTTGTTATAATCGAGAATTGTATTAAAAAATAAGAATGGAAATTATGATTGTGATCCTATCCTAAATAATGATGTTTCTAAAACTGTTAATCTTGTATTTATCAAGTCTTTAAGTGAGAAATAATTTTGTTCCATTACACGACTATTTTTATTCGTAAGGACAATGACCATTCTGGAAATTGCGAATTGTGAAGAGTTTCTCTCGACAATTTTCTGTCATCATAAAGTCAATTCTGCAAATTCCTGCTTCTCGAGGTCAACAAACACAGACGAATTCTGACAAGAGAATTTCTTGTAGGCAACTAGTTAAGCGAACTTCGTCTAAGGCAGTAAGTATAGGTTAGACAACAAGAATCGAACTCCGGAAATATTAAATGCAAGACTACATTGCTAGGCACTGCTCCCTAGTGATACTTTTAAAATTATTTAGTAAGCTCAACTTTGTTTGACACATATCCATGGAGTACTCAGTCAGAATCGGACTTACTAAACCAGCAAATTGGCCTAAAAGATGAATTTAGCAATCATTGTTGAGCGTAAAGCTAACGATTGGTAAGAGATTGTCGACATCTGAGAAATTACTTGAAATACAGTTTCACAATCTTCAACCTGTATATAGTGATTAATACGACAGATTGTCCAAAGAGAAAATCGTTTGCTTACAGAATTTTTCAAATAATATATAGCACATAGTACGGTCACTTGTTCGATACTTATGTGGTACAATGTCGTTTAAATTTAGCAAACCAACGGAAACTTGTGATGGGTGTACCTCCAAAATTCGTGATGACCAGACATTGGCAGCTGATCTCTCATCTGATTTAGCTCTTATATCTCGGGGACAGGGGGAGGGTACATTCCATACCTCGAAAACCAAACTCGTTACATTCCATCATCGCCGATCGGACCCCAAACTACCACCAGTCACGAATGGATGTCCCCTCGAGAAGGCCCCCTGACTTGAGCGACTATTGAGCTTAAAAATACCCCAGACCTCGAGTAAAGATGCAGGAAAAATGGTCGCTTCCCTGTACCGTTCCAGTTATTACCTGATTCCTCGTGTTATCCTCTACCTTTACAAGAGACAGATCAAGCCTAAAATTGAGTACTGCTGCCTTGTCCTCAGTTTCCAATCTCGATAGTCCAAAAGCGTCTCTGCGTCCTTGTAGATGACCACTTTCCACTATGCACCCCCTCTCTGACAGACAGGGTGTGGTAAGCCTCTCATTTCTCGGACAAACTACATTCCTTGGTTCCGCCAGTTCTTACCTCCATGCCGCTCACATTGTATCAAAACATCCCCATTCTCTCCTTATTCCACTGTTGAGATATAAGTTCCTCTCGAGCAGCAGCTTCTCGCGAACCACTGCTCTGTGGAACCGACTCCTGAGAGGATGTTTCCCCGATCTCAATCTGTTCGTCTAAGGTTAATCGTTATCTTCCCCACCTATCCGCTAAATTGTGCTTCTATGTAACCCTCTACATAGTGGGCCCCCGGGCCTTGTATAGGGTGAACTTCACTGTAAAAAAAAAAATATTCGTTAATTCATATAATAATGCTTAAAAACATAATGATATATTCGCTTTATATCATACAGTGTTGATACAGCTTTCAGATTAGTGTGAGATTGATCATAAGGACGGTTATACAGTGAATATTTTAGTCAAAGCTTTTATTTTACTTTAGACCAAATAGGGCGGGAGGCAATTAATGACGTCAGATAGGTGTAAAGACAAAATAACGAAACAGACGCGAAACCTTTTGTCGGAATTTTTGAGATATGGAATTATCATTATAGGCTTTGCTATTTGGACCAGCATGTTCAACTTGGTTGTTATACTCGCAACGTTTCGACCGGACATCTTCAGGAGTGTCTCTGTTTTCAGTAACTTTTTTGGAATTTCGGACCGATCACTTTATTCAGTGCACAGGGGTAGAATGTTCTCATTCCACTTTTCATGTTTCAAAGAGACACAGCCTAGTGGAGTAAAGTGTTGGTTAAAACCTATATGGTTTCTGGTAATGAGTTCAGTCTCGGAGTTTGGTAGTACAGGAAAATCTCATAATCTGGTTCAATGGAAGGAAGTGACTAGCAACACAAACGTGAATAACACTGGTGACTATTAACTGATATGAAATATTCCCTAAGCATAAAAAGCTGAACAGAAATAGCCCGCCTCCCAGAATTGACTAAAGTTTTCGGTTCGAAATTCCCCACCCCACTAAAGTTGCTGATTATGAAGATTTCCAAGGAAGACCGGGAAATACACTAATCTGAATAACCGAAGCGTTATGAGAATAACAACGAAGATGAGCATACAAGTCCGAAAAACAAGCATGAAACCTGTTTGAATTTCGGAAAGTTTTACTAGATTACTTGACTACTTAAAATTACAATGCACTTTGCGGAGCAAGTACAAAAGAACTGATTTTTATGAATAAAATCATATTTCGTGTTTCCAACACGTGGCGCATGTCTGTAGGTAATCATTATTAAATCAATTTTATATCGATTTCCGAGACTAAAAATAAACAAAACGGTAAATTATTTGAAAGTTTTAGATTTTGAAAGAATTCTATTTAATTTTACTACAATGGAAAAGCAAACAACGCACCCACTCATTGACCGTGTGTGAATTTCTTTTGGTGGTCAGTATGAAGTGAGAATGATGTGCTTTATAACTTTGAGGTTTACCTATCTACCCTCAGCAAGATGGTAAGTATGACACAATATCTCATTTAACACTAAACTTAGTACGCATACATGCAGGTAGTGCCAGGAATTGTGTATTTTCATAGGTATTTCTATTTTAAGACATCACAAACAACAGGATTGCCGAAATTTTAAGTACAATAGAGATGTGATAGCTGGGAATGAGACGATTCTTTGGATCTGTGTCCTTAAAATTTAATACCAGCTTTTCAGTTTGTTTTTCTCTCTTCTTTTTTTTTATGTCCGACCGCTTACGCATAACTTTGTTAGGTCAACGAATGCTCGTTATCACTTCGTTGTAGATGAGACTTTGTAACCGCAGATACTGGTACTAATAATACTTGTTCAAATAGTAATCGCTGATTAGTAACTCGTATAATGATCAGTATAGAGAAATAGTATAGTGGATAGCAATCTCTTAGACGTCACGCTAATTCCCATTTATACGTTTCCTTGACGATCACGTGGTCTACTTGTTTAATAGTGGAATATCGTCCGTGTTTGCTCACTAATGATCTGTGTTCAAGCTACAGTGTTGGCAACGACACTATATTCCTATACAAGACTCTTACATCTAAATGAAACGATGAAGACCCAGTTTTAACTTCAACACAGCGTCCACTCATGTGAATAACGAAAATACTTTGTATCGTTAAGATATTGTAACAGTTGAATATTTATTCGCTTTAGTTTTAGATCTAAGAATAAAACTAAAGATAATTGGACTACAAGAAATGCATGTTAAGCAAAAGGATCTCCCAAGGTATAGGATGTACAAGGGATCTGTCCCCCGACTCAGGCAGCGTCGTTTTCGATTCGAAAACGTCTGCAAGGAATGAAATCCATGAACATGAACGTCGAGATAAAGAAGGACATTGCAAGCGAGCGCTCTCACTGGAAGGTGAAATTACGCAGTTGCCTAAAAAAAAAAAAAAGAAGGAAAATAGAGGCTTCGTCACGCACTTGTGGATCAAAACATCACTATAGCAACATCAGAGGACAAGACAGGATTTTCAGATGCAGTTGTTGCAGCTTGGACTGTTATTTCCGTGTGGGCCTCTAAAGCCACAACAGACGCTGCTCTACCAACTTAGACTTAAACTTGATTTTCTAAGCGCATATTCCTGTTTAAATATAGCTCGGAGAGATCGAGAAAGATTGAAGAGTGGGTTTGTAAGGTTAGATTTGATATTCCGCTAACAGTATAGTTCCTTGTAGCTCAGATGGTAAGAGCAGCTGGTATCGTTAACCAAGCTTCCCCGAGTTAAAGGAAGTGTAAAAACATTTCCATTATTATTTACGATCGGCATTGTTTAGTCGCTGCCGTAAACTGACGGTTCGAATTTGTTGCAATAAAAAAATTTTTTTAAAATAAAAATTAAGATGAAAATAAGTCAAAATGAATAATAACGATATATTCGCTTTATAATATACAGTGTTAATACATCCTTCAGGCCAATGTGGCATTGATTATAAGGCTGGTTACATATTTAATATCTTAGTCTAACGTTTTATCTCTCCTGAACCAAATGCACAGAATCGATTTGTTTTGTTGTAAGAATTCGTCCATTAACTGTATTCTTCTTCTCAAACTAAATTCCTTATCCACTAATTATAACTAAGCTGTCTCATCGGTATTTACAATATAAGATGTGAGCTGTATACGGTACCCGTAGAACTGATTATCTATTTTTGATGCTTTTACATTGACTAGGATACTTATCTTGGTTGCTATGCCACAGAATCACAAACAAAGAACTGTACCTAATAACAGAAACCCCATCACTTGAGGAACTTCAACAACGGCAACGACTAAAATGGATAGCACATGCAAATCGAAGAGCAATGACAATCAAAATGTTAACAT